AAAAATAATTATAATAAAAATTTAATATTAAAATTACCTTTTATATTACTTTAAAGTAACTGAATGAGTTATTATTATGTGTCTTGAAAATAGATTTCAAAACACTTGTTTAAATCACATATTAGAAATAATGATATTTATGGTATAAAGTGACATGTACATAAAATATTAGATTTCTATGCTGTGAATCACATGATATTTTATCTAAAAAACTATTATTTTTTAAATTATCATTCCAAAGTTTTCTATTTTTAATGTCACACTATTGATTAATTGTGATTCTCAAATATCCGAAAAAAATGTACAATACATACTTACTTACTTTAAAATTGCAAAAATACAAAAATTTAAATTTTAGGATTTAACGCCTTTAATAGTATTATATACAAATCTATAACATTACTTGTTTGGCTAACGCCAAATTATTATGATTTCCATAATACGTATGCATGTATTTTACCATTAAAAAAAATTAAGTTGATAACCCTGTAAGACATAAGAGTTGAATATCTCTTAAAAAGACTTTAACGAAAAAAAATCGTAAAAAAGTTATTATTTGAAGACAAAATTGAGTGATTAATGTTAAAATAGTACAGTTCCAAATTAAAAAAAATATATCAATGTAGATTAAACCGGTATCATTCGATAAATATAAATTTAAATCTTATAGTGTTTAGAACTTCCATCATTATCGGTTTCTATAATCATTTTTGAACAAGTCAAAAAAAAAGATAAAAAAAAATATTCAATAGATATAGTAAAAACTAAAATAATTTAAATTCTTATTTCTAAAATACATTTTTTTCCTCTTTAATAAAAAAATATTCAATCTATTCTAAAGGTACAATAAGAGTGTTTGCTAAAATAAATATATAACAAGAATATTACGAAAGAAACCATTTGTTAATGATTCTTTCCCAATGTTTTTTTTTTGATTTATTAAAAAAAACATTATGTTACCCTCAAAAAAATTTCCCTCGTTCCCCGTAAATGAGGGAAACCTCTGAAAAAATTCTCGATTTTGTATTTTACATTTTTAACTATTAAGTTATAACTTTTTGAAAAATGTATGGATCAATCAATTTTTTCACGGGAAGTAGTATTTACATATATCTTTCATTTGACATACTTTTTTTTTTAATCAGATCATTTCCCTATATACAAGGGGCTTCAAATCTAAAAAATGCATATAGAAAGTAGAAATTTTTCAATTTAACTTTTGAAGTGTTCCGGAAGGTTTGACACTTTTCTATGTATCTTAAATTAAAGGTAATGTAATATACTTTAATTTAAAAAAAAAATTTGACCTCTGGACTTGTCTTCGTGGTGAAAATAGACATCAAAGTTAATAAAACATTACAATTTTTGTAAAATAATTCTTTTTATATTTTTAATTTAATAATGCTATATCTTTTTCAAAAATGAATAAATCAATATAATTCTTTTTTATAGATGCTTGATGTCTTTACTTATCTTTTGATATATTTTTTTAAATCTGATTCTTTATCTGCCCATATGGGGGATTTAAAATGACTACTTTTTCTCAAAATATTTACTTTGTCAACTTAACCTTTGAAAGTGTTCCGGAAAGTCTGATACTTTTATATATATCTTAAATTAAAGCTAATGTAATGTACTTTATTATGAAAAAAAAACTTTGACCNAAATTAAAGCTAATGTAATGTACTTTATTATGAAAAAAAAACTTTGACCTCTGGACTTGTCTTCATGGTGAAAATGGCTACCGAATGCTATTTTTGTGTGAAAATTCTAGATTTTGTTTTTTACATTTTTAACTTTATAATGCTATAACTTATTGAAAAGTGTATGGATCAACACAATTTTTTTAGGAGAAATAATATTTTTTTATAATCCCTTTTTCATTCAGGATATTGATAAGAAAATAGCAGATCATGTAACTTTTGGAATAATCCACTAATTTTTTAAAATTAAACACTATCTAAAGATTTGCATCGAAGCGTTTTTTTTTTTTTTGATAGTGATTTTAATCACTGTCATATATCATTATACTTGATTCAACAATGCTACGTCACTACTGTGCCGCGGCCCCCTTGTGCTAGGTTTTTTTTTTATTTTATTTTAATTTAATTTAATTTTTTATTTTTTTGTACAATAATTGAATCGGTGAGTGGAAGAACAGTACTAGTCCAAAATTCGATATTTCGTTTTTTTTTTACGAATAAACTCATCTAATTTAGATCTAAGTATTGAATGTAAAAATAGTACTAGTTCAAACTTTTTTCACTTGCCACAGGTATATTTATTATTTTGATGAGTGGAAGAATAGTACTAGTCCAAAATTCGATATTTCGTTTTTTTTTACGAATAAACTCATCTAATTTAGATCTAAGTATTTAGTGTAAAAATATTACTAGATCAACCTTTTTTCACTTGCTACAGGTATATTTATTATTTTGATGAGTGGAAAAACAGTGTTTCTATTATCATTTATTTATCTCTATGGTTATCGTTATTGTTGTGGTGTGAATGTGTGCTTACATTATTAATTTTTTGCAATATTAATAATATTTTTTTATGAGTACATATTTTGTTTTGTTTTTTTGTTTAAACGTTTTTGTGAAATAAAAATGACTTACTCTGACACTACGTCAGATGAAGAAAATGAAACACCAAAGATAGGAAAGAAACGCTAACTTTATCCTCAAACATGGAAACGTCAAAAAATTAAGATCGCTCGTCAAAATGGAGCTTCTTATACTTCAGTATCAGGTAATCTAATTACTTCTAAAATTCCTGGTCCTAATTGTGTTTGCAGACGCAAATGTATGAATACGTTTCCAATGACGAAAAAAAAAAATAATTCATAATTTATATGATGGAAAACCGAAAAATGAATTTGATACTTTTTTACTCGGGTTGATCGAAACAAAATCTGTGATTAGACGCCGCCAAAGGTCTGAGATTGGTGGAGCAAAAGCAAAACCAAGGGCGAGTAATTTTGCGTACTTTGTCAAAAAGAACGAATTACGCATATCTGTTTCCAAACAGGCTTTTATGAGATTGCATGCTATATCACATATTCAAGTGCAAAAATTAACAAGTATTTTGTTATCTGGTATATCACCTTAAGATGGATGTGGAAAGCACAACAATCGACCGTCCAAGATAAAAGACGAATTCATTGTAAAGATTAAAGAACACATTGTATCATTTCCGCTGGAAACGTCTCATTATTCTTCTAAACCTTTACGGTATTTGCCTTGTACCTTAAATACTAAGGAAATGCACAGATTGTTTATTAAAAAGCACCCAGATCTTGAAAATAAAATAAAATATGAGTACTACCTAAAGTTTTTTCAAGAAAATTATAACTTCAGCTTTCGTCGACCTTAAGTGGACGTATGTTCAGAGTGTGAGAACTTGGGATCAAGAATCCGGGATAAAAACTTAAATGATAATGCAAAGAGAGTAGCAGCAGCGCAGTATTTAATCCACAAAAAACGTGCCAATAAGTTGTATAATAAACTTAAAGAAGTTGAGAATCTATGTAAGGAAAATCCTAGTGTGGCAGCAATATGTTTCGATTTTATGCAAAACCTTCCTTTACCTAATATACCTGTTCAAGAGGTATTTTATTATCGTCAACTGTGGGTAAATACCTTTGAAATTCATGATTTAAAAGAAAATACAGGCCACTGTTACGTGTATCACGAAGGGCAAGCAAGAAAAAGCCCAAATGAAGTTAAAAAAGCTTAAGTTACTAAACAATAAAGTGTTACTATTATGTTTTAACTATTCCTACTATTTTATATTATTTTTATTTTAATTTAAAAGAAGTTAACAGGGAAATTATAAACAAAAACATAATTGAGAAGAAAAACAGTACTTGTCCAATGATATTTTTAAATTGTTTTAAAATAAAAAAAAAAATTTTTATGACCAATGATTGTAATAACAAGCTATTAGGAACTTTGTAAAAACAGCTACAAAATGTCCTGGCTTCTAAAGTCTATAAGTTACTGTAAACAGAATTTTTTAACTTAAAAACTAGATTATCTCAAATTTCAATTTTTGGACTAGTACTGTTCTCCGATTCAATTTGAATTAAAATATGTCTACATCATTTACACTTTAAAAGCATCAGGAATAAATAGTTCGATATTGATTTACTATTTTTTTCATACGAGTATTACTTTCTTAAGTCAAATGGTCAAAAGTGTATCATTAAAATTAGATTCGTTGTATAATTCATTTAATAAAATACCCAGGTTTAAATATTACAAACTAAGAAGCCTATTTTTTTAATTCGTTCGATATTTAATAAATTTGATAATTGTCAATTTATATAACATTTATACCAATAATTAATATACAATTTATATAATAAAATATTAATTATATATACAGAGTAGCCCACCACTCACTGACAACTTAAATAACTTTTGATCCAGTTAATATTTTTAGTTGATTTTTTTTTAAATAATAGTTATACTTTAGGTATATAGCTATATCTTAATAATTAATTTTTTTACATTTTATTAAAAATATTAATTATTTTTAAATTTTAAATAAAAAGTAAAAAAAAAATCTAAGATAGCTATTTTGTAGAGTAGAATTTAAGAAAAATTTTAGTAAAAAAATATCTTATTAATATTCA